AAAAAAAAAAAGCCGGGCGTCTTCTTCTTCACAGAGAAGACGCGAGAGAGAGCAGAGAACACACAGCAAAAAAAAAATCCGCACCCACCGCAAACCGCGCCACCGCCGCCGCGCCACCACCATCTCGACATCGTCAATTGCAAATCTCTTCATCAATTAGGTAAATGGCCTAAAATTTTTCCAATTTTTTCAACAAATACGAATTTTCATAATACATTTTTAGGTTAGGGTTGCTTGAAAATTTGATGTTTTAAAGTTAGGGTTACATTTAGGGTTTAGGGCTTGATTTGAACGATTGTTTAAATGAGGCTTGCAATTAGGGTGTAGAGAATTTTCGGAATTAGGACGTTAGGGTTTGGATTTAGAACTTCGAATTAAGACTCGAAACTCTAATGTTGTTGAAATTGTGAAATTGTGAAATTGTGAACTATTGTGTGAGCTTCGATTTTTCGAAATTAAGACTTCAATTAGAACTTCGAATTGTGAAATTGTGGACTCGATACTCTAATGTTGTTGCCTTGGACATATGTTGAAATACTTGGTTTTTGGCTATTGTTGTGAAGTGTGTTTGTTAATGTTATTAGCATCTAAATTGTAAACAATATATTACCATTGTTCTTGATTACTATTAATAATTCTGTTTGATAATCCCGTTCTTGATCACTATTGATAATTGTAAACTTTGATTTTTACTAATTAATGACAATACGTCCTCTTTATTTAAATTTTTAAGAAAATTTTTTCTTTCATACCTTCTAATTTATTTAGAATTCATAATTAAACATCAGGCTATTATTAATTTAATAAATAACCTTAATCCTAATATTTTCTTTTTTGTATTGTTTGTAGATAAATGGCTTCATCGTCCTCCTCACAGCCTCAGCAGTACAGTGTCCATCCCTGTCCGAGGGATGGCACACTTCTATATCTCCAGTACCGCCACCGGTCACAGACGGTATTTGATAATGCTCCGGGAGCTCGTGACACGACGCTCACAAACCGCCGTTTCGACAGTCAGTTCTGAGAGGCTTTGTCAAGCCAACCACGGTCGGTTTGGGAGGTCATCGATCGGACTGGTTTCGGACCCTTGTTTCGAATGGGTCGAATCCAAGCCGACAACAGCCTCATTACTGCTCTCGTGGAGAGGTGGCGCCCAGAGACGAATACCTTCCATTTTGATTTCGGCGAGGCCGCCATCATGCTCTAGGACGTACAAGTCATGTTCGGTCTGCCAATCATTGTAGCTGCTGTTGTGGGAGTGACTACAGATCTATCACCCCTACAGTGGCGAGAGAGGTGCAAGGACTTGCTAGGGTGTGAGCCCTATGTTCAGGTATATTTTTTCATAGATTTTTTTTAAATATATGTCAACTCAATTTTATCGTTTTTAATATGGAAAAACCACTCTCAGGATCCTCCCACCACCGAGGCAGAGCAAGCAGCACAGGATCCAAAGTCTTGGGACATTAAAGGCCAGTATCTGAATGATGGAGGGTTAGAAGAGGAATGCAACCGTGTGTTGCAAGAAGGAGAACCGGACATCGTGTACGAGCGGAGGGCGAGGGCCCTTATCTTCTGGTGCATTGGGTCCTTCATCTTCCCCGACCAGCGGGCGAATGGCATCCCACTTTACTGGCTCCACCTGCTGGAGGATATAGATGCTGTTAAGGGGTACAGCTGGGGTTCAGCGCTCTTGACCGGAGTATATAGAGCGTTGTCAACCTCGTACAAGGCCAAGGAGAGTGGATCAAGAACTGCATTCAATTGATCCAGGTAAATTTATTTAATTGTTATTTGAAAATTTAATATTTTTTTTTCTTACTTCGACTAATACCTAATACCACAATTAATATCCATTTGTGTAGGTTTGGGCATGGGAGCATATCTCTCGTATTCGCCCAATAGTGAAGACTAGTAGGTTTGATAATCTGCCTGATTGTCCATTGGGAGCGAGGTAATCACCTTTATTTTTATTTAATCCGTACATTATTTTCATTATCAAATTTTGTGATTACAAACTTTTTTTTTTTTCTGTGATTTTTAAGGTGGGTGGGACCGAAAAAGAAGTCAAACATAGCCAATACCTTGGTCGCCTACCGGGATCAGTTGACAGGGCTGGGAGAGAATGATGTAATATTCTTAATTCCTATTGCTTGATTTATGTTTCTTTTTTTGTTTTTAATTTTGTAATAACTTAATTACTAATTCAATTGTTATTTTTTTTTACAGTTTGATTGGCAGCCCTATTGAAACCACCTAGAGGATGATACTCTCCCGGATGCGTGCTCAAAAGATCCACAATTTTGGATGTACCGGGGGTGGATCTTCAGTGGGAACACCCGGGAGGTACACCTGCCTGATAGGGTCCTCCGTCAATTTGGGTGTCGCCAGTCCATCCCCCAAGATCCGATCATTCGGGATGAGCGAGACTTGGACACACACCACAGAGGTCAGGGGATGACTGGGAGGGCATTTTATGATTGGGCCGCATTCCATGTACCGTTTTTGAGCTCATGGACCGAAAAAATAGAACAACGTCTCCTCCCAGTTACCCCTGTGTACGACTATCTGCAGTCGGAGCAGGGTTACCTTGAATGGTTTCACAGCAGGACTGTGAGATTCATCAATAACCCTGCCAATTACCTGGTGTTCCAACAGGCGGGCGGGTATCAGCCACTTGCCGAGCGGTTAGGCTGTTAGGTAAGTGTTCATTTTTTTTTTCTTTTTTTGGTGTTTCATACTAATTATTATGAATTTTATTTACAGACTCCTGCACTACAAGGGGTTTATGGGGCATTATCCGATATTCAACCATTAATGCCTCAAATCCCTCCAGAAGCGCAGACCGGCTTCCAACAGTCGTACAACTTTGTCTTCTCTTCTCTGACTGTTGGGGGCCAGAGTGTTCCACATGGGGGGCCGTCCAGTCAAGTTTTCTCCCAGGACGAAGACATTCGCCCCATGAGGACACAGTCACACACGGCCAGGCATCAACCCGCCCCCAACATTGGTGGGGGTAGAAGACCTCGGGCCCGTCCCCGCGCTCAGCCGTCCGCCCAGCACCTCCAACCTGAGCAGCCCGAGCCTCAACAAGGTGAGATTTTTAAATTAACAATTTTTTTTTCTAGTCCAATTTATGTTTTTTTTTTTCAATTGAATTACTCAGATGAAGAAGATGAAAATGAGCAGCCTTTTCAAACTGACACGCTTCTCACACCTCAACCTTCGTCTTCTTCTCACATGGTATATACTCAGAGGGGGTCCAGGCCGCGCAAGCCTAGGAATCCATACACTCCTTCTTAGTTAGTTGTGTTGAATTCGTGGATTTTGTGTTCATTTTAAATTGTTGGATTGTTTGTATAAACCGTCGTTTTGTATATATTGTTTGTTCAACAAATTATTGTGTTTTCATTTGTTTGTTTATAGCGTATGTTGGATTATTATTGGGCAAATATGTTGATATTAGTTGCTCGAACAGGTGTATTTGGTTATGAACAGGTATATTTGGTTGTCAAATGATATCTAATAGGATTTTTGCTAAAACCTGCACAGTAAAACGTATTTTCATAATGCGTTTATTATTTTTTTTAACAGAAAATGTATTTTAAGAATACGTTTTCTGTGCAAAATTAGGGTAAAATCAATTTGGGGTTAAAATTAGGGCAGCAAAAAAAATTTGGGGCAAAATTACAGGAAAAACGTATTTTCAAAATACGTTTTATATTTTGAAATATTATTTTCTGAATTTTTTTTTAACAATTGTAAAAATTAATTTTATTTATAAAACATATTCCATGAATACGTTTTATAATTCAAACATAGTGTAAAATTAATTTCAATTATAAAACGTATTTGTATAATACGTGTTTTTTTTTCTACTTTAAAACGTATTTCGCTAATACGTTTTCCTGTATTTTAATTAAGTTAATTACGTTAATTATGTTAACTAATTTTCTTTAAGGAAACCGTATTCCTTGAATACGTTTTACTAGTGAAAACGTATTATGTAAATACGACTTTAAATGAAAAACGTATTCACGGAATTTGTGTTTTTTTATTTTGGTCGACCCCTCTTTTTTTTTTTTTTGCATTTTTTTTGTTTTTTTGTTAGTAAAAAATTCGAAGGAACTATCTAAACCTAATCTAACAAGAAAAATGTTACAACTACATAGAGGTGTACATAACACTCACATGGAGTGGGGTCCACTTGATTTTTTATTTTGATAGGACTCACTTAATGTGAGTGTTATGTACACTTATCTAATATATTATGTACTTATAGCATTTCTCATCTAACAATGACACTAGATCTAGCCGGGACTTTCCGATCGTCCGGTGGTGACGGCCCCTAGGCCTCGCGTCCCGTTTTTCTGAAGAATCGCTGCATGGAGGTGGGCTTCTTCGCCCGGGAGAAGGCGCGGTCTGTCCCTGTCTCGGTTTTGCCTTGAATTTGGCGCTTCGAAGGTGAGGCGGACGACCGATTCTTGGGAATTTTCACTTTGGCGATCTTCCGGTAGTTCTTTAGAAGCGGGATGCGACTTCAACTACTCCGATTTGGGGCTTTTGGAGCGGTGGGCTTTCCCCTTTCAGCAGGAGGTCGTCTCCAGTTCTGGTATTGGGCGGAGGGGCTGGCCGGCATCGTGGACCTTGGCTGGTGTTCTGTCGTCAGTTGCTGGTTCTTGGTGTCAGGCGTTCGGGTGTGGGGGGAAGCCTCCGGGAGTGGGGGGATGTCCGTTTGGTTTGGGTTGCATCCATTGTTGTCAGACCTAGTTAGGCATTTCACGTCCGTCAATATTAACGGGGCTCGTGTGAGGACGTTAGATTGGACCAATTTTGCAATTTTGGGACCAATTTTGCAGTTTTTCAAAAAAAAAAAATGAGCTGTTCAAGTTCTTCAAGTCTCTCTCATTCACTCAAAGCCGAAATGACATAATAAAATTAATTTACTATGAATATTATGCGAGAAATAAATATTAAAAATAATTTCATAAAAATAAGTATCGGGTGGAAAAGTAAAGGCGTTGATAAATTTTAATTTTGGGTGCAAAAGTAAACGATATAATTGCTAATTGTGTGGTATTTATTTTATTTTCTAATATTTTTACCGTCATTACTTAAAAAATATTAGCAATTATTTGAATATTATTTAAATTAAAGAATATTTAGAAATAATATTATTTTAATTAAATAAAGCAAACCAAAAGACATAATCCAAATTATCAAAATAAGAAAAAATGTAAATATGCTTACAATAATACTAATCCGTCTACACTTTTAAATATTAGTATAATGTGATAATTTATATATATCCTTACAAACTTTATTAAATAATACGAATTAAAAAAAAACCCAATCTAAACAATTTTTTTTATCACTGTCTATTTTTCTTTTAATAATTTTTTATTTATCAATTTGATTTTGACAACTATAAATTGAAAAATCTATTTATATATGCAAATTACATCTACATAAAAAATTTCAATTTTAAGCATAATAAAACAAAATTTGGCATTAAATTAAGTGAAAATAGACATTTGCTCACACTTATTTATAGTAAAATATATCATATATTTTTTTTTGCATCTCATTTATCATGAACTAATTAATAAAATTATTTTATACACCTTTTTGTTAAGTTACCCAATTAAATAATTATTTTATGTAAAAAATCAAGTTAAACTTTAATTTAAGTTAAAAAAAAATGTGAAAGAAATGTATGTTAGTTATATTTATCTCTTATAATTTATTAAAAAATAAACTAAATGTATTGTTAGGAAATAATGGTAATATACCTTTTTAACATTTACTAAAAAAATTTTAAAAAAAATGTTTCTAATAAAAATAAATTTAAATAATTTTTATCACTTATTCTTTGAGAAAATTATAAATTTGGTCCCAAAACTTTTGTTGTTTCCCACATTTGGTCCTAGGCTATAAACGTTGACCGTTAAGTCTTGACGGAGTGGGACCATTTTGGCAACGAAAATTAAAAAATGACCATAATTGGCGTGCCTGGGACCAAATGTGGGAAACAACAAAAATTTTGGGACCAAATTTGTAATTTTCTCTTTTTTTTTTTTGTTTAGTATGTGGGTATTTTGTGGATGTATTTGTTGTGTGGGTTGTGTTTTGTTTTCTTCAGGAGCGTGTTAATCTCCTATTGGGAGCTTGTGTTATTAAGTTGTGGGAAGCTATTTATTTTTCTTTTTCGTCTTGTAGTGTGTGTTGTGGTATTTACACTGTCTTGAGTAGTTGATGTAGCGCAGCGTAAACGAAAAGAGAACAAGAGATAAATCTCAAGAACTGATAAAATTATTCATAAACATCCAATGTCTTCAAATGAAAGAGACGATATAAATAAAGTCCCAACTATTTCTAATCCTTATCTTGCTAATCAAGTAAATAATAATACCTAGGAAAAGAGAATAAAGCATAATAATAAAATATCTAGGAAATAAATAACTAAACTAAAGATGGTAAACGATCATATTTTTCTATATATGCCATCGCGATCTCGTCTCCATCATCCTCCCCCTGTTGGGAAGGATTCGCCCTCGAATCCAGGCCGATCTCGTCTCCGTCTGAGTTATCACCGAGGTAAGGCACCAAATGTTTGACGTTAAAAACGTCGGAAGTCCGAAGATGGGAAGGTAAACGAAGACGGTAGGCGTTGGGATTAATCTTCTCGAGGATCTCAACAGGACCAATTTTACGGGCCGACAGCTTATTGTACTCATGCGCCAAGAAACGATCTTAAGTCAAAACCGCCCAGACGAAGTCGCCCACCTCGAACTCCACATGGTGACGCTGCATGTCGGCATGCTTCTTGTAGCCGGCGGTAACGGTCTCCAAACAAGCCCGGGCGGACTCGTGAGTGCGCCGCAAATCAATCATCAACTCCTCGGCACGAGGCTCGGACGCCGCAGCCAATGGCAAGGCGAGCAAGTCCGCGGCTCCTCGCGGACGGACAACGTAGACCACCTCAAACGGGGAGAAGCCCGTCGCACGACTCCGAGCCGAGTTATGAGCGAACTCAGCCTGCGGGAGTCGTTGGTCCCAACTCTCAAGATTCTCGCCCACCAAACAACGCAATAAATTCCCAAGGGACCGATTGACGACCTCCGTCTGACCGTCAGTCTGAGGATGATAAGCGCTACTGAAGTCTAACCGAGTGTTGGCCAGACGCCACAAACTACGCCAAAAATGGCTAAGAAAATGCGTGTCACGGTCAGAAACAATAAACGATGGTAGGCCATGCAAACGATAAACCTCCCAAAAAAATAAAGTTGCCACATGGAGGGCATCTGCAGTCCTCTTGCATGGTATAAAATGGACCATCTTAGAAAAACGGTCGACGACCACAAAGATAGAATCATTACCTCGTTGTGTACGAGGCAAACCCAGGACGAAGTCCATACCAATAGGAGTCCACAGACGCGAGGGAATCGGTAAGGGCCTGTAAAGGCCGGCATTGGACGCCACAGCCTTAGAAACTTGACACATACGGCAACGCTCCACGAAACGAGCCACATCCCAACTTAACGAGGGCCAGAAAAAGGAGCGACTGACCAGATCAACAGAGCGATCGCGACCCACGTGCCCAACACCATGAAGGTCCACCACCACCTTCAGACGCAGGCTACAGTCGGGAATACATAACCGAACACCACGAAATAAGAAACCATCAGAAAGAGCATAACCATCAACAGGGCCAGAGGCAAGGCGAGAAAAAATGGGCCAGAAAAAGGAGTCTGTAGCATACAGATCCTTCAACAAATCAAACCCCACGACCTCAACCCGCATATCAGTCAACAATAAAGAACGGCGACTCAAGGCATCTGCCACACGATTTGAAGCACCCGAGCGATGCTTCAGAACAAAAGTGAACTGCTGAAGATAAGATGTCCATGTAGCATGGCGAGAAGAAATATTACCTTGAGAGCAAAGGTGGCGAAGGGCCTCGTGGTCTGTGAACAAGACAAACTCCCGCTGAAATAGATAATGCCTCCAATAATGAACGGCCCGAAACACAGCATAGAACTCAACGTCATATGTGTTATAGCGTAATCGCGGGCCCGACAACTTCTCACTAAAGTAAGCGACAGGGCGCCCCTCCTGGCTCAACATAGCACCAATCCCGACCTTCGAAGCATCACACGAAAGCTCAAACGGAAGAGAAAAATCAGGAAGGACCAAAACCGGGGCAGATGTGAGCTTGCTCTTGATAAGATCAAAAGCATCGGCGGCCTGAGGGGTCCATACAAAGGACTTGCCGTGAAGACAGTCCGTGATAGGAGCGGTGATTGAACTAAAATGTGAAATGAAACGTCGGTAAAAAGATGCTAACCCATGGAAGCTACGCGCCTCCATGAATGAGGTCGGAGTCGGCCACTCCTGAATAGCGGCGACCTTGCTGTTGTCCACGCGAATGCCAGCAGCTGAGATGACAAAGCCCAAAAAGAGGACCGAGTCGACCACAAAAGAGCACTTGTTAGGCACCGCATAGAAGGCCTCGGACCGTAGTATCTTCAAAACTGAACGAACATGCTCCAAATGCTCCGGAACAGTGCGGCTATAAATGAGGATGTCGTCGAAATAAACGATGACATATCGCCCAATGAGGTCGCGCAAGGCCTAGTTCATCACACGCATGAAAGTGCTAGGTGCATTAGAAAGACCAAACAGCATCACCAGCCACTTGAAAAGACCCTCCCGGATCTTGAAAGCGGTTTTCCACTCATCGCCCGGCCGGATCTGAATCTGGTGATAACCACTCCGAAGATCAAGTTTGGTAAAAATCGAAGCTCCATGTAACTGGTCCAATAGGTCATCGAGGCGTGGAATAGGAAACCTGTAGCGAACCGTGATCTTAATAATGGCACGGTTGTCAATGCACATACGTCACGAGGCATCCTTCTTTAGAATGAGCAGGGTCGGCACCGCACACGGGCTCAAACTGCGACGAACAACCCCCCGTTGTATCAACTCCTCCACCTGGTGCCTCAACTCTTTGTGTTCAGCCGGGCTCATACGGTAATGAGGACGATTAGACAGAGAAGCACCGGGCACTAAATCGATATGATGTTGAATGTCCCGAAGCGGAGGAAGACCAGAAGGTAGCTCGGCAGGAAAGACATCAGAAAATTCATCAAGCAAAGGTTGAATAACGGCCTGCGAGGCCGTTAGGGTTGACAAATCAATACCCAAAAGAAGCACGACACACGATGCCTCTCGCAGTTCACCAGCAAAGGTCGTGTGAGACAATAAAAGAACCTGTGGTGGCGGTGGCGGAGGCAAGAGACGAGGAGGTGAAGGATGAAGGACCAATCTAACTCCCTCAAACATGAAACTGCATGTGTTGAGACGACCGTCGAAAGCCACCGCGCGATCAAATTGCCATGGTCGACCTAATAAGAGATGACACGTGTCCATGGGCACCACATCACACCACACCGAGTCACGATACTTGGGCACGATGGAAAACTTGATCAACACCCGACGGTCCACTGTGATGGCGTTACCTCGCTGAATCCATGCCAAAGTGTACGGCTGAGGATGCGGTACCATCGATAAGTGAAGGCGATCCACAGCATCCGAGGCCACTACGTTTTCACAAGAACCAGAGTCAATAATAAAACGACAAACACGACCATCTACCGTACATGTAGATTCAAAAATATGGTGACGCTGTAAAGACTCAGTAGTGTCAGAAACTCGAGGTGCCAAACACGAGCGGCGAAGAACCAAAGCAAGACCCTCGTCACCACACAGATGTTCCTCCTCTGGGTCTGGCTCGACATCAAATTTTGGTGGTCCATCATAAGCAACCTCCACCGAGCCGTCAAAGTCATCTGGCAGCAGAGCCTGAGAGCTGTTGCGGCAGGGATAGGCGGACTGATGGTGGCCGGCCTCGCCGCAGAAAAAACAGTGAGGACCACCTCCGGCGCGCGATCCCTCCATCCCGGCTGAGGCAGTCCCGATTCCGATGGCTGTGCTGGTGGACGCTCCAGCCGTGGAAAATCCGATTGGTCCTGTCGAGTTGCGGCGACCACCCGTCAACGGCGACCGGTTCATCCCGGGTGACGAAGACGGAGCGCCTCCTACGCGCGGTTGAAAACCCGATGACGGCAAGAGTCATCTTGACTGCTGTTGTTCAATGAGTAAGGCCCGTTGATGAGCGGCAGAGACGGTTTCTGGGGTGAACATGTTCAACATGTCGCGAATGGCAAGTCGCAATCCTCCTACATAACGGGACACCTTTTGAGCCGTCGTTTCAGGTAGCTTGACACGTGTAAGAAGACGATAGAAATCCTCCATATACTCGTCCACGGATCGAGCTCCTTGTCGTAGATTATGGAGTTGTTGATACGTGGTATTGATGTAGTTGAACGGACGAAACTCCCGCTCGATATGTTTCCGGAATTTGGTCCACGTTGCGATTTTAGGTTTACCCAATAGACGCCTCTCGTCTTTGAGATGCTGCCACCAGGTGACTGTCCGTCCATGCAGTCGCTTGCCGACAAGCCCAACTCGATGGTTGTCGGGCACGTCTTTGTACTCAAAAACCGCCTCCACCGAAGCAAGCTAATCCAAAAATTCGGCGGCGTCCAGCCCACCCGAGAACTCCGGGATATCCACGCGAAACGCACTCTCTCAACACTGTTCGCCGCGCGGGTCGTCGTCTCCACGAGGATCATCTCGCCCAAACGAGTTGCCCTCCTCCGTAGCGTCCGAACGGTTCGTCTGCTCGCGTCGCATCAAGGTTTGGAGAGCCTCACGAATATCCTCCATTCCCGCCGCCAAATCCGACATATCGCAGCCCATCGATTGGAACTGCCGCCCGAAACCCTCACCTTGTCGCGTGAGGGATTTAATTTTCACGTTCCTTTGCTCGTCAGCCATGGTGTCGTTCCTCTTGGGCGGCATCGTGGATCGTAGCTAACCCTGGATACCAACTGATGTAGCGTAGCGTAAACGAAAAGGGAACAAGTGATAAATCTCAAGAACTGATAAAATTATTCATAAACATCCAATGTCTTCAAATGAAAGAGACGATATAAATAAAGTCCCAACTATTTCTAATCCTTATTTTGCTAATCAAGTAAATAATAATATCTAGGAAAAGAGAATAAAACATAATAATAAAATATCTAGGAAATAAATAACTAAACTAAAGATGGTAAACGATCATATTTTTCCATATATGCCATCGCGATCTCGTCTCCATCAGTAGTCCTCCTATTCCGTCTATTAGTCATTGTAATTATATGTTTTAATTATTGAATCTGCCATTAGAAAAAAATAATAATCATTTTTTATTTATTCCTGTCACACCGTTCCCTCTTCTTTTAATGTCATTTATATAATATTTTTATGTGAGAAAAAATAAATTCAACTTACTTTATCCTCCCTCTCTCATGTTTAAATTGCTTAAAATCTTGATCTATATGTATTTTTATTTTATAATTAAAAAGTAACCAATTGAACAATGGGCGAAAAAAAGAGAGAAAAATAACAAATTTTCATAAAGCCAATTTTCATAAAACAAAAACTTGAACTTTAGCCAACAAAATATCACAAGAAATAAAAACTCGAGGAAATGGAGTATATTATACAACCATCAATAAGCCAACAAAATATCACAAGAAATTAAAACTCGAGGAAATGGAGTATATCATACAACCAACCATCAATAAACCATTTAAAAAAAACAAGTANAAAAATAAAGCAAAATGAGCTAACAAAAATTGCATATAGAACAAAATCAACTAATTAACTATTACACAATTAGCCTCCAGGGTGTGAGGTCAAGTGGTAAATAGTGGAGGGTTAAACTCCCTTTGAAGCTAGAGGTCACGAGATCGATCCTGACTATCGTGGAGAGTGTGAGTAGGGCACTGCACTCTCCCTGGGAGGATTAGTCCCACTCCTTTGAGTGGGATCCCCTAAGCGTGATATGCCCTTAAAATTGGTTGGTAGGCTACAATGAGTGATGAAGCCGTGGAGTGAATGTGGGGATACCTCACAGTCAAAAAAAGAAAGAAAAAAGAAAAAGAAAAGAAAAAAAACACTATTACACAATTAGAAATGAAATATCAAAATCAAAATTTATTTCAATAAATGAGTCAAAATATAACTAAACCATTATGCAACACAATGCAAACCGAATTGAGAACACTACATAACAAAATAACTTTATTAAAATTTATCACGCTCCAAAGGGTAAGATAAAAAAAAAAGGTGACATTCATCCTCTGCCCTAGGGCTGCACACGAGTCGAGCGGCTTACGAGCCGCTCGCGAGCGCTCGAGTCAAAGCTCGACTCGAGCTCGAGTTTGACCGAACTCGAGTCGAGTTCGAGCGGCTCGAGAACGAACTCAAGCCCATATTTTACATTGTCGAGCGGCTCGCGAGCGGCTCGAGATATATGGTAAATTACTAAAATACCCCTTATATATAATTTGACAAAATTCTTTGAATTTTTCGAACCGAATTTGAGCCGAGCTCGAGCATTTTGAATTCAAGTCGAGCTCGAGCCTAAAAAATCGAGCTCGACGAGCTCGAGCAGCTCAAAATGCTCGATAAGGTCAATGCTCGACTCGGCTCGGCTCGTTTGCAGCCCTACTCTGCCTAATTCCTCATCGTCGCCGCCACAAACTTGCAAATTATTTATGTTTTTCAATCACGACGCCCCCTTCCTCAAGTGTCCCGACCAGGGACGGATCCAGAAATTAAGAGTAGACTGAGTTAGAATTTTAAAAACTCATTTAGAATTTTAAAAACTCATTTTTTCTTCAAATATTCATTGAAGTTGTGCTCGACGAGTTTTTACAAAACAAATTCATTATGCTCATTTTGCACCGTATTTGATGTGCTTTCACAAGTTTGATGTCAATCCCGTTTTCTAAAGAACAATAATATTAATGAGATTTTTCCTTTTTTGGTTGAAGGGTGGTGCTTCATGTGAATTTCTAAAAATTTCACAACACAAATAAACATATTTTTCATATGACATAGTTATTAGCAAAATGAAATGCCTAGACATCAAAAGTTTTAATCCAACTACAATACACAACAACCACACTAGAGGATAAGAGATTAAGAAAAAAAGATACACACACGCAATTACTATTTCATACACAATCAACAAAACAGGAATTGCAATGAAATGATCCTAGCAATTATTATTAGAACCCTAAAATCTAAATAGCTCAACTAAAATGAAAAGATAGATAAAGACAATTAGACAAATGTAACAAATATAGGAGGTTTAAAAATATAACTTCTTATTAAAGAAAAAATTAAATTGCCTCCTTGAAAATAGTCACTTTCTTGTTGAACATGTTTTTTTTCTTCTAAATTCAATGTTCTAGTGTTCAGAGGAGAGATATGGTCGTGGCTAATTTATTTGATAAGAGTTTGATGTATTGTGGTGTTTTGTGGGTTAGTGTCTAGTGAAAAGGGTGGATCACTAATATATAATATTTTATTAGAATGGTGTTCATAGTCTTTGGAATTACTAGATAAGTGAATTATTTTGGTAGATTAATAGGTTAGTTTATTGGACTGAGCTAGAAATGTAATAATTTTTTTTTTTTTTTTTGTCAAGCTAATAGTTGTTAAAAAAAAAGAGGTCTGTGCTTCATCCCAGCCCAGGCCTACTGTGGATCCGTCCATGGTCGCGACCTCTCCCTCCTAAACGGCATCTTCAATTGGAAGTATCAATCGACGGCCCGGCCCAAGTCCACCCTCTCTGTTGTCTATTCGTGAATTTTGAAGAGCGCACCACATTTAACTTTTCTTTTGTTCGATGCATTGAAATATTGAATGGCTTGATCCACTTACAATGTGTGGATGTAAATTGTAAATGGAAGTTCAACCCTTAAATCACATTAATAGCTTGATTTGGTCATTGAATGTATTAGGAAACAATGTCTTTTACATTAGTTAGAGTATTTGATAGATTGGTTAAGAGTATTAGATAAATATTGAATTAAAATGGAAAAGGTTCGCAGGTTGAATATAGAAAAATTGGTTTTTCAAGCAGAAATGTTGGAGGGCACATCCCTAATGAAGTTGACACGATTTCGAGCTATTAGGTAGGGAGTTCCTTTTTTGAAATTTAACGCTATAGCAATATCTAAAAAATTCAGGTACAATGCTACCTAACCTACATTGGCTCAACACGGCGAATACTACCGTTATTCTAATCGAGTTAGATGCAAATTGGTTTAGTGGGATATCGTATATACTACCCAACTATAAAAGACTTGCACGAATAGAAAATAGGAGACCTCTATCAACCTAATCGCTAAAAGATGTGTAACAGGTCTTTGTGGGCAAGATGTAGGAATTAAAGGGTCCTAAGGTATGTATCTCCCAAGAGTTCGGAAACTTGCACAAGATTTTGTAGTACTCCAGGTAATCAAGCTCGATGCATAAGAAATGATTAACTTTTCTCGCTATGAGATTGATTGTATTGCGCACTAATGAGACAAGGTTTGGAGTGGAATAAGAAAGAGAAGGTAGGATAGCTATGACAGATGGTTGGGTGATAGGTTGTGAAGGTTTGGAAGGTAGTGGACCTCTTAAACGAGCTCAGGGTCCAACTCAAGTGATGGAAAATGGTCAGGAAAAGTGGAAGCTATCTCGTCTCAATCGACCTCCCCATCTGATTCATCCATAAAGTGTCTAGGACGTGCATGTAGATGGGTTGTGCGAGTTGGTTCTAGGATCTCTAGAGAAAGAGATAGAGGAGGAGAGGTAACGTGGTCGTTGATGAGAGCTTCTAAGGAGTGGGTGTTTGTAGAGCGATCTAAAAAAATGAGACAAAAAAGAGGGGGAAACATTGGGGAGGAAGAAAAAGAAATTTTAGAAAGTTAAAACATGGAAAACAAAACACAATGGTATACTAAGACATGAAATTACCGACGATGTTCAGGAACTTACTCATCGACATGGTGAACGACGGTGAGATGGTGGATAACCGACGGCAAGGTAATTGTTGGAGTGCAATATTTTAACGAGGGATGTGAGGAACAAAATGATATCAAGTGAAGCAGGTAATGTGGTTTAGGGGCATTTATAGGCACTGGTGAGAAGATGAGGGGTTGGTTTACTTAGGATCGTCCGATGAGAATATAGATGGCCGACTGCGATTTGGTGATGCATTAGTGGGTGCATGCGATTCGGTGATGCATTAGTGGGTGCATGCTTCTAGGATTATTGGTTTTGAGGCATTGGTTGGCATATTCTTTTGAGTACGTTAGACGATTTGATTGTTTTTGGTGGGAAATTTTAATTGTTGACACTAAACCCAGTGGTAGTTCGTTCTACTCTTAGGTCGGGTTCTCCTACACTCGACTAGAAAGGAGCAGAATAGATGATATAGTATATCATACCATCTCTCAAGATCTCGTTAGGATAAGGAATCCCCCAACTAGACGCTCGCTCAACCAA